GCGCCCGCGGGCCACGCAAAACGGCTCGGCGGGCCGCATTTGGCCCGCGGGCCTTGAGTTTGACACCTATGCTCTACATAATAAAACACATACGTATATCCAGTGACCCAAGGCCATACGTCCAGAAATCACCTGAGTGAAATTTTTACAGGAGCGAGTCGAGGATCACCATACAGAGAAGAGGACGGAGTCCACTGAGACTCCACTGAAACCTAGACCTAGACCTGCAGGGTTAGCAGGACCCCGGTAAAACCCCAGTCAGCCCTGTTCCCAGGCTGTTCAACTTTTGGGTAAGGTTGGGATATAAAGTGTTCATGAAGAGTTTTTTTTTGTCCCTAAGGAGAGATCCACCTTCTTTAACATAACCTCATCGTCCTCATCGTCACCGAGCATGTGCGAAGGAGAAAGGGCCAGAACATGACAGCAGTGACTGACACACACACACACACACAGGTCATGTTTCTCTGCATGCTGGGCTGTTCAGCTATTGTACAATCCGTGTTGTGTGTATGTGTGAGAGAAACATTTGGCAGCTGGCTCTTGAAATAATCATGTGCTGAAGGTTTAAGAGGGTCCACGCCCTACACGCACACACACACACACACACACACACATGCTCATCTGTTAGCCATTAGCAACCAGTCAGTGACAACACAATCACATGGGCGGGCCTCAGTTTGCTCACACACCATAGCATATCATTCACATGATGTATGGATGGTGCGTGTGCGTGCGTGTGTGGGTCTTACCTTGGTCCATATTGGTGATTTCTGGGGGATTTCCAGTCTGTGTTTTCTTAACACTTGAAGTTGTGTTTTTCTTGCTCTAGCTGTTAACACAAATGAACAAATTCCTGGCTTTAGAAACAACTGTTAATTAACCACCATCAAGTCAATTCTTTAAATCAGAAACATACAAACAAACAAACCTCTGCTGGACCGGGCTCCCGCTCCACATTAGCAGCTGTCTGTTACACTGGGTCTGTAGCTGTGGGAGTTCAATGTCCACATTGGCTTCTATAACACACAAACTGACATGAACTTTGCTGTACTGAATATTACATGAGGCTAAACAATTACAGCACAATTTAACCTCCATGTGAAAAAGTGTTAGCCAAGAGCAGGGGTGTCAAACATACAGCTCGCGGGCCAAAGCTGGACCGCTGGGGGGGTTCAATCTGGCCGGCTTGATGAATTCTGAAGGTGAAAAAAAATTGGTCAAATGACATCTAATTATTTGCATGATGCAAATATAAAGTTATTTATAGGTGATTATGTTATGATTGTACTGGTCCGGCCCACTTGACATCTAATTAGGCTGTACACCCCCTGCCTTGGAGGTAAACAAAAATAACAGCAAATTACAATTAAGATAAACGATAGCCAAACGTTAGCAAAAATACAAAGCAATGGTTCAACAGTAAGCCCAGAGGTATTTAAAAAATAAATAAAATGGAACTAAGAAAATACCACACATACCGCAGTTTGTCCACAACAAGTAACTGGCAACACAACAGACATCAACACAACAGACATCAACACAACAAACATCAACAGGATCAGTTGTTATTGCTTCACTTGTATTTTCTACTCATCTGGACTTATTAACATTTGTTTGTTGTTATTTTTTTTTGTTTGTTACAGTAAATAATGTGTATTCATCATCACTGATTTGAATCACTTTAAAGCAGTGGTTCTCAATTATTTTCTGTCATGCCCCCCCTTTGAGGACAGAAATGTTTTTGAACGAATTGAAACACCAATGGGAACCTGCTAACATGTATATTTCTATCTATACAAACCACTGTATGAGTTGCTGCCACCTAGTGACTGGAGGCTTGTTATCATTCAAGCATTACAGCAGTGGTACACTTATGTCCATCCTGCTATATTCCATTAGAATATGGCACGCTGGACCCCCCCCGGCACCTCACCATGCCACCCCAGGGGGGCCCGCCCCACTGTTTGAGAAGTACTGGTTCAAAAGAAATAACACGACAATTTGTTGCTTCAGTCAAGTTTGAATCCACGAAGTCGAGAAAAGCCATAAAAGACTAACCTAAAACACTTTCAAATGCATTTCATGTGTTAAAGTCTGTGTTTATTGCAGAGGGTGTTAATGTTTTGTCTATCTGAGCCAGTGGGCCTCGTCCTGAAATCAATCTCTGGACTGGTCTGTTTGTGTTTCTGTGATTCTTCTCCTCTGGAGTATGTGGAAACACAACTGACAGTGTTTCATCCGTTGTTTTTTGTTCTGCAGCTCTGATTTCACTTAGTCAGGAGTCGGATCACTGGCATAATAAAAAACAATTAGTCACTTCCCGTGAAGATGAAGGATGGAGGATGGAAAAGTAAGTCTGTTATCTCCTTCAAGAACTTGTTTTACCATATTTGATTCTAAGGCTACGCATCTGACTCAACAGCAACAGTTTGTACTATATTGAACCTATAATTTCTAGAGTTTCTTGAGTCTTTCCAGCTCCACCAGTGTCATCCTAGTAAGGCTGAAACTAAGTGCTGAGCCAGGTTTTTTTTTTTTTTGCTGGACTTCTTCAGAATTCCTTCTGAAATCAAACTAGCTGCCGGCTGCATCTAATTATTTCATGGACACAACTCTGAGGAACTACAAATCAAAAATACCAAGCTTTCTTTTTTGTTTGCTCCTTCCATGTCTTTGACCTGATAAATCTTAGTAGAAACTTGGAAAAGCGTTATCAGCAACTGAAAAGTTCCACACTTTTTCAGGTTGGGAGTTACTTTTTAAATGACCGGGGTAAAGTGATCTACCTACACTGAAAACTATAAATATATATTTACTACTTTGATTAAATGGCTGTAGTTGTATGACTCAATACTTCTATGGTCCTTACTTTAGCCCTGGTGATTAGCATCTTAAAATAGAATTCAATCATTAGCATCTTAAAATAGAATTAAATCTTTTTAATTTTTTTTTGTTTCTTTAGTTAAATGTAATTGCTCAGTACCTACCACACAGGTCTACTGGTAGATCCTGATCTACTGGGCACCCCTGCTCTAGAACTAATGACTTGTATACGAGTATGGAGAACAGTACTAAATTTAAAAAAACTAAAGAAACTGCATTGACAGTATGTGATAAAATTAATGAACAGACAAACAAAGACAAATTATTTGCAGTAAATAAATTAGTATTAATAATTATAGTTTTCAGAAAAAAACCCACCTGATGATCTCTCACGGCACAATCTTTGATATATTTCCTAACCAATTAAAAGATGGGTGACACTTATGTAACTTAGGTAATATATAATATTGTATACTGTAAAATATGTAATTAATATTGCAATAGATAGTTAGATATACAGTAATATGCTGTCTGTATGATGTCTTATATGCACTTATTAAGCTCTGTTGCAAAACCTTAGTAACGTGGTCAAAACGTCTCTAATAAAAAGATAATAATGGATGGATGGAAAGATAGATAGATAGATAGATGGATGGATGGATGGATGGATGGATAGGTGGATGGGTGGATGGATGGATGGATAGGTGGATGGGGGGATGGGTGGATGGATGGATGGATGGATAGATGGATGGATGGATGGATGGATGGAAAGATAGATAGATAGACAGACAGATGGATGGATGGATGGAAAGATAGATGGATGGATGGGGAGATAGATAGATAGATAGATGGATGGATGGATGGGGGGATGGGTGGATGGATGGATGGATGGATAGATGGATAGATAGATGGATGGATGGATGGATGGATAGGTGGGTGGGTGGATGGATGGATGGATGAAAAGATAGAGAGAGACAGATGGATGGATGGAAAGATGGCTAGATAGATAGATAGATGGATGGATGGATGGATGGATGGATAGGTGGGTGGGTGGATGGATGGATGGATGGATAGATGGATAGATAGATGGATGGATGGATGGATGGATGGATGGATAGGTGGGTGGGTGGATGGATGGATGGATGGATAGATGGATGGATGGATGGATGGATGGAAAGATAGATGGATGGATGGAAAGATAGATGGATGGATGGAAAGATAGATGGATGGATGGAAAGATAGATGGATGGATGGAGAGATAGATGACACATTTACCTGAACCTAGGAGACTGTCTTAATCTCCAACTTCACCTTGACAAAGCTCTGGTTGTCAACCAATTTTTAGCAGTTTTTTTTTTTCTCACTTACAGAAACAGAATATTTCATATTTGACCTCCTCCAGTCCCAGCTGCAGTTTTATCTCCTCTTCCTGTGTCTCAGTGTAACGTCATCTGCCCAGATCCCCTCCTGGGCCGTGTCACAGTGTCTAATATCACTGCTGTGACTCCGCCCACTCTTTATTGATCACAGATTTATGACTTCTTATCTTGGCTGCTGTTCCAAACTGTTGTCAAGCAACATCAAAAACAACAATGTCCAGTTGGAAGAACATTAAATTCCCTTTATAAAAATCTATCCTTCTGGATTTTATGGATGAAATCAGCTAATTAAATTTTTTTAAAATATTTTTTTAAATATAAATTTGATTAACTGCATCATCATTCCATTGTTTTTGTCTTAAGTTTAATTGAACGGATTTAAAAAAAATTCATAAAGTTTGATCCCTTTCCTACTAG